ATCATGACAACTACTATGGCAGACGACTTCGGATTAGGTGCGTTCTACTAAGTCCCCCTGACAACAAGACTAAGTTGCGACGAGGTCAACCCACTTCTGAAATTATAATGCCTAAGGAATTAGTAAATGACAAACAAATAGTCGAAATTGATAGGAAACGAAAATAATTATTTTAATAAGTACAAAACTTAATAATTAATTAGTCAGATAAATGATTGCTAAATATGTGAGGATATTCGTAATTACTGGTTGCCTTTCAGCCTGGTGCAGAGAGTGGGGCAAATGGAGTTGTCCATTCGACGATGACGACTGGCCCACAGACCCTTGAGACCCAGATGTAACCACAACAGATGAAGACGACTGCTAGTGCTGTTGTAAAAAAAGTCCAAAAGGCCCTGAAGAACTAATACTGGAAGCCAAAATGGCATGGCCTGCAATGGGAAAGTTTTCGTGTGCATGCATACTCACTGTGTCATCCGCATTGGCCGTAGTTCCATGGCCCAAAGAAGTGGGCTCTAACCGGGAAACTGCCTGCATTAGTCTGGTTCCAGCAGGCGAATCGGTTGTTCCTATGGCTGCGATCTTGGCACCAGTTGGATTGAGCGGGGACTTAGTAAGCCTGCTAATAGGATCAGTAATAGAAGTAGAGGTAGAGGCAGTCACAACGGCTGAAGTCGCAGGTGCTTTGAGAAGCGGATTGCGTTCCACTTCGCGGTTGATCTTGGTGCGAAGTTCCTCAAGAAAGATGCGTGAGAAGTTTTCCATAGTGAAGTAATCATGCCGTAACAAGGCAGAGCAGGAAGGGCGCTCCTCGGCCTCGAGACGTAAGCATTGCTGGCAAGAGGCACCGAAATTTAGAAGGCAGAAGTTAGAAGAGAAAAGAAAAATGAGGACTAAATGAGGGTGAGATAAGCGATTAGATGGGAATATCTTGAAAAATGGTTCAATTTATAGCCTATAGGGGAAGATTTATGGAAAATACATTGAAATGGTCACTGCGTATTCCAAATCATCTTAATTCTAAGAGAATTTTGAATAATATTTAAAGCAAAAAATTCTAATGAGGTTTGTTGTTATATATTTCTTATAATTAAAGGAACATCTTATTGTATATGACTTGTCTTAGTATGTAACTAGTCGATGCCATGATGTGGTAAGAAAGATAGAAGATGTAGTACGAAGAATGGTTTTCCAAGTATATTTATGAACACGATTAATTAGATAAAACGAATTAAATAACCAAAAGCAGACTGCAACCGAACTGAAAGCGACACCATCATAAGTTTCATACGTATAAACATTTTCTTTAATTGCAGAGGGTGACTAACAAAAACTTGAGACGGATAGCGTAATGAGTAAGAGGCACCAAAAGAAATTACACAAATATGCTAGTAAAAAAGGGCCCAATAGGAAAAAGCTAGAATATAAAATTGGGCTTGTAAGTTAAAAAATCATGGATCCAATGAATGATAAAAATAAGGACATGGAATTTTCACGTTCTATCTTTATTATGAGACAACAGCGATCCTAAAGGAAGTTTTCGGAAGAAATATTTAAGGAAGGTCGTGGAAGTGTCTGAAAAGTTGCCTAAGGAAAAATATGGGAAATCCTAGTGGAAATCCTACCAGAAGTTTAGGGAGATAAACGGCTTAAGTAAGGTAACAATTAAAGTCATGTAAAATAGTAAAGTTGAATGACGAAAATAGTATGCAAAAAAATAAAGGGAGGATCGAAAATAGTGAATGAAAAAAATTAGGGAAGGAACATGAAGAAACAATTAAGAGAACAAATTTGGAACATAAGAGAACATTGCATGGATAGAATGGGAGTAAAATAATCGAATGATGTAAAAAAATCAAAAAAATTTTAGAGGAGAAGAAATGGATGTTCAGACTTGAAGAAGCTGAGTCAAAAGGAGGTTTAAGGGAGAAAGAATAAGTAAGAACTTTGTTTATTTAAAAAAATAGAAAAGCCTACTTAAATAATATCAACAAAAAACTGGCACATTGATTAAGGATAAACCAAAAACATAAAATTGCACTGCAAGAAGAGGGCTCTTGGAAAACAACAGCACTAATCACAAGTCTACCGACGCAACATGAAAGGGTAGACAAATTGGATTGTTCAGGGTTTAGTGTATAGCCTGCGGCGCGTGCAAACAGAAATATATTAGCGAGACAGGGAGAAAAATTAGCATACGAATAAAGGAACATCAAAGACTCAGAAGAAAAATGGATACCGAAAGATCGGAATTGGCTGAACACATCGCACAGACTAAACGCGAGATTAATTGGAAGGCAATAAAAAGAAAGGCCTCATACGGTGAAAACACAAGGAAGCAGAAGATAGGAGAGGCCATTGACGTGGTTGGGAAAAACAACCTAATGAACAGGAAATTGAAGGAAGGTAGAGTTAGCGATAACTTTGCCTACTGCTTAAGCAAACTCGGGGAAAACAAGAATAAAGCAAGACCAGCAGAAAGGAGACGCCTGGATCAGGGATCTATCTCTAACCGGAGAAAAAGGGATCGTGATGAAGAAAGTGGGGCAAGAGTTTTCGGCAATCAAGTGAGGACGTTGTCAGTGAGTTATGTCCGTTTCGAATAAACCAGTACAACTTTGGGGGCCTGGCAGTCACGGAGCTGGGCAGACGGATAAGCAAACCGTCACAGAAATTCGACGTTATGGCCAAATTATAGTATAAATCCACTTGAGATGCCGCATGCGACCAGAAATAGGCGTTCACAGTTTGTTCAGGTAACACAGGTTTAATCAAGGAGACGACCCGTGAAGGCAATGCCTGATATCTGCAAGCATCAGAATCAGGGGCCTTGAGAAATAGGGCCCGGAATGAAACTCCCACTGGGACTAAAACCGAGTAAAATCGGTCAACCAAAAAGATAAGAAAGGTATCTATGGGACCATGAGGAAGATCTGGATAGGTGGTACGAGTCACATTAGCCGATCAAGAAAGAGGGGGTCGGGTGAATTGCAGGTGTGATGAGGCGACACTAAATTTGCCAAAAAAGGGCACACATTTTGACGAGTGGAATATAAACAAGTCAGAAATTGTGATAGGACGGGAGTTGGATAAGAGGGTAAAGAGTTTATAGATGGTGTTTGAGGGATTGACTTCACTTGCCTCTTTGACGTGTTCGTAGCTTAGTGCGGAGAATAGCAACAATCAATGATGATGCCGACTCCGATGCCGGCGAAACGTCTGAAAATGTACCAAGTCTACTGTCTGATGCTGGTAATTATGACAACTACTATGGCATAGGACTTCGGATAGGGTGAGTTCTATTAAATCACTCTGACAAGAAGACAGAGTTGTGTAAACGAGGTGAACCCACTTCTTTAAAAACTATATTGATGAAAAAACCAAATTAGCAATGGAAGTAGGGGAAAAAGATCTGTTATCTACCTGGATGTTATGTCATTCTTCATAATGGGACGCTCAGGAGGAAATTATTTAGATAGAGATCATCTGCTGGAATAGTACTTTATTTCTAGTCCCATCACAACTACCGGGTTAATAAAGGAATAATAAGGAATATAATCGTCAAAAGCCTACGACTAACGGTCGTGGAATTCTGGGATGAAGAATTGGACACGTTGACCAGGATACGCCTCAGCAACGGTTACTCAAGCAAAGTAACACAATGAAACATACGGCAGTGAAAATCCGATGAGAGAAGGGAAAATATGAAAGAACAGTAAGGACAGAGACAGATTCACAAAAGTGGATATGTCTACCTTCCTGCGAACTAACTCAAAAACTACTGCCAATACTAAGAAAATGGAATATTCAGGTGACTACGAGACAAAAAAACAACACTCTTCACAAGTATACCGATGCAACATGAGAGAGTGAAGTAATAGGAATGTTCGGGAGTTAACTACATAGCATGTGGCGCCTGCAAAAATAAATATTTTGGCAAAACGGGGAGAAAAATCAGAAATTGGGGAGCGGAGAGTTTCTGCAATCAAGCAAAGACGTTGTCCGTGAATGGTGTCCGTTTCGAATAGACCAGTACAACTTTGGGGGCCTGGCAGTCAAGGAGCTAGGCAGACGGATAAGCAAACCGTAACATAAATGCGACATTATAGCCAAATTGTACTGTAAATCCACTTGAGATGCCGCATGCGACCAGAGATAGGCGTCCACAGTTTGCTCAGATTACACGGGTTTAATTAAAGGGACGACCCGTGAAGACAATGCCTGAGCTCTACAAGCATGGGAATTAGAGCTTAAGCGCTTTGATTGGTGAGACGATAGTGTAAGTGCTTCTAGGACCTTGAAAAATAGCGCCTGGAGTGAAACGTACACTGGAACTGGAAGCGAGTGAAATCTGTCAACCAGAAAGATAAGGAACGAATCTACGGTACCATGAGTGGGATCTGGATTAGAGGCCCAAGTCGGATTAGCCGATCGAAAAAGGGGATCGGGTTGAATAGCAGGTTTGATGAGGCCACACTATATTTGCTACAAAAGGTCATACATTTTGACGAGTGAAATGTAAGCAAGTGAGAAGTTGTGATAGGGCGGCAGTGGGATAAGGGGGTATAGAGTAGATAGATAGGCCAGGACAGAAATGGGAGTGATAGTGTAACCGTTTTCGGCAGAACGTTTGTCGAGGGATTGATTTCATTTGTCTCTTTGACAAGTTCATAGGTTGATGCGGAGAATGACAGCACTCACTGATGATGCCGAATTTGATGCCGGCGAAAAGTTTGAGAATGTACCAAGTACACTGTCTGATGCTGGAAATTATGATAACTAATATGGCAGAGGACTTCGGACAAGGTGCGTTCTATTAAATGGCCCAGACAACAAGACCACGTTGCGACGAGGTTAAACCACGTCTATAAATCGAAAGGAAATTGCGACCATACCAGAGGCCTCATCATCTTAATCTTCATATCTTAAATTTACTTTGAAAGGATTAGAGAATAAAGGGTATATATTTAACAATTGATAATGGTGATACCGGTACTGATAAGGCCAAGAGATACATTTTAGCCTGCCCCACTTGATGAAATCTATGGAGAATTAAGAGGGTATGTTTCAGGGCATATTCATGTTGCTGCAATGTGAGACGTTAATTAGTGGAAAATACGAAGGTTTCAGACTGCAGTTGTTTTACGGGGTATTACTTTGAAATAAAGCACTAGTATCGCCGAATACTTTGCCTTTGAGCTTAATTTACAATAATAGCTCTTTAATGAGGAATAGATTTTCAGGCGGAGACTATTTGGTCAGTGATTGGCAAGCCGAGAACCTTTCTCGTGATCTAACCTTTCAGTCATGTTTTCTTTCTAAGAAGATAAAAGAAATAGTGAGGAAGTGGGGGATAAAGAGAGTTTTCAGATAAATTCTGACACTCTTCGGTTATACCTTCTTCTAGAGAGAAATATGCCCCATTATCAAGATCCGGCTGTTATCAGATTATGTGCTGATGTGTTGGTGAGACCTGTTGGCCGATCCACCGAATATTAGCAGAGCACAAAAATACTTGTAAAGGCAGCTGGGTCGAACAGTCAGAAGTGGCGGAACACATGACGAAGATTGGACATGAGATAAAATTGTCTAGTATGCAGAGGTTTACTGATTATGCTATGTCTGCTACGAAACGCAATATAAGAGAGGTTATTGAAATTAATAGGTTAAGGAATACGTTGAATGTGAGGAATAGTGGTAGAAAGTTGAGCAAGAATTACGCCTGCTTGATTGTAAGATTGAGAAAAAGAGAGGGTATTGAGCCACCGTCCAAAAGCAGACACTTCAACTTGTCAGCTGAGAGACGGTTCTAACCAAATATACACTCGTTCAACAGGCATGTCAGGCGCATCAGCTACAACAGACGTGCAAAGCTACGCAATCCCAGCCAGGTTTCTCCTCTGCTCATTAAGCCTTAATAAACCATACTAACGGGTTCTATCTGGTAGTTTCTTAACCTGACTTTCACGTGTACAGACTTACATCTCATCAATTGAACCAGGGTTACTTACGGACCAATGCAATCTCTGTTATGCCTTTTCCCTGAGTCATTAAGCCTTGATGACTCAAAGCTAGCGTTAGGCCTTTTCTAATTAATCCGAGTTATGGCCGGTTTTGCGTACAGACGTTAACATACACACACAGAGACACACTCGGGTAAATTAAATTAACCAAACCTTTTTATAGTCATCTAAATCTAAATCTTTTCTCACAATGAATATATACATAATAAAGAAAAAAGACGGTCAGCTTTGACAATGTTTGTCGCATTAGGAACTAAAGCTCAGCCCGTCTTCACCCAAACGTTAGAAGATGCCTCGTGAACTGAATCAAGCTGAACGACATATTAACGCCAAACGGCTGCAGTATAAAGCGAATCAGCCAACGTCTTCTGGTGAGAGTGACCGACTAATCTCTTCATAATGAACTTCCGTACGAAATGAAAGTCTTCAAAACTATCCCAGTATTATGTAAACTATTCTTTTCACAGGAGTAGACTGTTGGCCCATAGTGAAGGCAGCATTTCGACCCAGCAAGCCATGAAAAGTATGATACAATTGACGGCTACTAAGTCATAGGAGGGACCAGCCTTTGGCTTAAATAAAAGATAAATGACTATTGTAGGAAAATAGGGAAAATTTATTGTTAAAATGGTCGTGGAGGTCCTGCCTACTTAGCATAAAAACGTGAATGGCAGACATAATGAAGGAAAATATGTATTAGGCAGACTAAATAATGGAGTTGTCTATCTCTAATCTTCTCGGCACGGGATCATTGGTATATCGGTTTAAAGGCATTTTTGTATTCGTTTAGATTCCCTAGGCCGCTTTCACTAATTGAAATTTCAAGTGAGGCTGAAGGAGGGTGTGAAATTGAGATGGGGAGCGTGCCAGTGGCTAGAGAAAAAGTATGAGAACTTGGAGAGCCTAGTTACTGTGACCTGCGCAGATGGAATGCGAGAGCAAATTATATTAGGTTCAGTAAATAAGATATTAAATGACCACGACAAAACGGACAAATGGAAGTTATTTCCAAAGGAATGGGAACGATCAAGGGGGATCAAAATTGTCGATACTCCCAATAAAATCCATTATTAACATCTACATAAAATTACCTCAATAATTGTCCCAAGTGCAAGCAATATACGTTCCATCGTAGCCCCATTAGTGTCATATTTTCTATAAACCAACTTTTTATCTGAATTTCAATAGAAGGCTTCGTGAGTATAATCTCCATCATCATGGCTATCCGAATGAATAGCCCAGCAATTACAGTAAGATCAAGTCGCTCTTATAAGCCCGTTTATCAGATTTTCTGGCTCAACATAAGCTAGAGAAGGAACACGTATGAATGCATAAAATAGATACAATAAGAGAATTGACAAAAGAGGAAATACCTTTTACTCTAGACTGCCATAACAAGAAAAATATTTAATAATGCATGTAAAAAACGTTGCTAGAAAAGAGCTGGAACTAAAGTAGCTAGAATTATGAAAAAAAGATAAGAACTGAAAGGGAAATTTGGCATGCAGAATATCTCTTGAAAAAGCAGTAAATGTATGAAATTAGACAAAGAATAGCTAAATTCTCAAAAAATAAATACCCACGGATACGTGAAAAAAAGATTAAACATACTAGATGAGTGCAAAGCCAGCGGAATCTTCACTTAGAGTATAAGCAAATAAAACGGGCACGGAATATTCATAATTGAGGCTATAGAAAGGGCAGGGCCGAGATTTACTGTCAACTGAAAGACCTATATTCCTGAAGCAGAACATAAGTTTATTTATATTCTCAATGCCTGGATGAGAGGATCAGGAAATTGAGTCAAGTCTTGTACAATTAGTAGTCAAGCTTCTCCTCAAGTTGGGGTTGGAAAAGCTTAACTGAAGGTTCAAATAATAAAAAATCCAGTGTGAAACCCAAAGAACAATTGCTTTCAATCTATAGGATAATATGAGATTCATTCACTCTACTTCGTTAAGGTGATGAAGAAATGGTAGTTGAATTTTTCCGCAATGAAATGAGGAGACCTTACAATTCCAATGAATTTTATATTATCACAGATTCGACCTCGCCTATGACTAATCAGCACCATAGCGGGACTCGAAGCATGACAGAGCAGCGTATAATTCCGACACGCTGACCACTACGCTACATTGCCAAGAGGGCCCTTGGGTCACGGGGATAATGGTAATTTCAGGGAATGCCAGGCATTTTTATATCACATTCTGTGGTGGGATTGTCGATGGAGCAGTTACATTTGCTGTGGCAATCGACTACGTAACTTATTTGTCCTTCATAAATAGGCTTTCGAGACTTCTAGTGGATCATATATATGAGATTTATCTACCGCATTTCGATAATATTTAAATGTTTTGCATAAGATACAGTGCAAATATTTCTAGGGCCTATTTAATTACATTATAGTCAATATCGAACGTCAG